TAGAGAATATCTTTTACCGTTACCATTTACTGTTAGGCTAGGACTTATTAGGCTAATATTTTTCAAAGCTGAGTTATGGCTAAGGCAACTTCTTTGTAGCCATGGCACATATTTTATATTAAAAAATCCCATGATGCACCACCAAGCCAAAATGAAATATAAGGATCCTCTAGTTTAGTTAGGCCTGTTTGGTTGAACACAACCCTGATATACTCAGGAATTGAAGAAAGATCTCCTTCAACAGCTCTCTGGCTCTCCGTCAAATGCTGCCTCCTAGTGGATGTTGTTGTTCCTGCCTGCCACTGTTGCACAGAGGAAGCTAACTGATACTTTCAGAACATTTAACTCTGTCCCCGTCCCCTCACTCTCCTCTGCCCCCCCCCCCCCCCCCACGTCCTGGTGAAAACTCTGAGGCTCGTCTCCTCTCTCCCACCCACGCCTTTTCTGCCCTCCTTGAAGTGCGCTGCCAGCCTGGATTCACCTTGCCCAGTGGCTTGGACGCCACAATCCGCCGTTGTCAAGGCGACCGACAGTGGAGTGGGGACGAGCCCACCTGCATGGGTGGGTTTCATGTCAGCAGTGAAGTGGTGCTTTGCTCAAAGGCAGCAGGTAGACCACACGCACCAGTGTCTATGTTGATGTGACCCAGTCAAAGAGGACGCAGTGAGTCCCCCGTGTGACTGTGTCCTCTGAGACAGTCTTCTCATCACCATAGCAACCAAACTCACACAGGCTTTGTGTGAGTTGGAGCTGTGGAATTAAATTAGTAGAGGAAAGAAACTGGACACAGACTGGACACAGACTGGACACAAACTGCCCACAGACTGGACACAGACTGCCCACAGACTGGACACAAACTGGACACAGACTGGACACAGACTGGACACAAACTGGACACAGACTGGACACAGACTGGACACAGACTGCCCACAGACTGGACACAGACTGGACACAGACTGGACACAGACTGGACACAGAGCTTCTCTGTTGGATGTTGGATGATGTTGGATGTTGGATGATGATGGATGTTGGATGTTGGATGATGATGGATGTTGGATGTTGGATGTTGGATGATGAAATGTGAAGGGATATTTTTATTCACTAAAATAAAAAAAAACTGGGATATTCATGAAAACTAGTGGGG